CGTTTTTTTGCTCAATTTTGCCCACCCAGCCCCTAGAAATACTCTATAAGCCCCCTAAACTCTATGCATGCAATTTTTTTTGACAAAAAACAGGCCTGTTTTTGCTTGGTTTTGGGGGGGGGGGCAACCCCCAGAAGCACTCTGCAAATCCCCTAAAGGCTATTCATGTTTTGGGGATGTTTGCAGAGTGCAAAAACTTTTTTTTTCAGTTTGCTCTTCAAAATCTTGGTGTGTCTTATACTCCTGTGCATCTTATACTCCGAAAAATATGGTACATATATACATACACACATACATACATACTCATTCTATATAGTGAATTTCAGATTAGCTGTTTAACATATAATTTAGCTTATACATTTTTCTTTATTTTCCGTATTTTTATTGTATAACTCTACATTAGTAATTTCAATCTACTTATATGCATTTCATAACAGGTGAGGAGAATGAAGAAAACTCTTCTTCCTCCTTTGACTTTTTATCTGATGAAGATGATCGCTGCCCAATCTGTCTAAATTGTTTGGCAGAGCAGGAAGTTGGCTTTCCTGAAAATTGCAACCATATCTTCTGCATGGCCTGCATTCTTAAATGGGCTGAAGTAAGTCTTAAGAGCTGTAATCAAAATTTAAAAATAGTTTACTTTAAAAAAAATAAAAAAATACTTTTTTGTTTTGGTTTGGTTGGCCTCCAAACAACAAACTTCATTACAGCTACTCCTGAACTTACAACCATGTCTTTAACTAACATTTGAAGTTACAAGAGCACTGAAAAAAATAAGTTACAACCAGTCCTCACATTTAGGAGGGTCATAGAGGTTCTGCAGTCACATGATTAAAATTTGATCAATTGTTGGAATTTGCACTCAACATGTATTTAGGATGGTAGCAATGTCCTAAGGTCACATGAACCTTTCCAGGGAGCTTCCAACAAGCAAAGTCTATGAGGGCAGCCAAATTCACTTAACAACTGCTGTAAAAATCATGAAATCCAAGTTAGCAAGTCATTAAGACTATATTGCTTAGCAACAGAAGTTCTAGTCCTAATTGTGGTTGTAAATTGAGGACCACCTATACTCATGCATAGTATTTTGTAAGCATTAAATTTTGATATGTCTTGAAAGGCTGCTTTGGAATATAATTTTTTTCGAAAGCAATGTAGACAGTGATTGATAGATCAAGTCCAGTTTTTAAAACAGCTTTACTCTCATACCCAGCATTCTTAAAGTAGCTCTTTGAAGAGTCGCCCGAATGTAAATTGTGCCACACTGTTTGCATACAGCTATAAATGAGCCTTACTTTCTTAAAGCAATTCTTATAAACAGTAGTATCACATATCTTCTTCTATTCTGAAAGATATAATAACTTTTACTGATCCCTTGCCATTCACTGACCTAGGGGTGTCGACAAGCCGCATGAGTGCCTGTTCGCCGCCCTCCGGCTCCCGCGGCTTGGTGCCTTCGGAATGCCCCTAGGTCAGTGAATGGGGCTCTGCATGGCTGAAGAGGCGGGTTGCGCGAGCGGCTTTTCTGCTCGCGTGACTCCCAGGCTCACAATGCCCTTGCCTAACTCCCTGCAGAGCCAGGGCATCTCCGCTGCTGCTGCCGCCATTTGTTTTTTTCTACGGCTTCCAAAGCACGGAGGTAGGATGCCGAGTCTTCCGGCAGTTGCCGCTCTGGGAGTATGCTCTATGGTTGTGGGCTAGCTGCTGGCAGAGTGTACATATTATGTCATCTTTCCAGGGAAACATGGTAGGACAATTCTGTTTTATACATATAATTTTTATTTAAAGATATTTTAATAAGATTAAAAATAATACACATTTTAGAAAATAAAATAGTGAATAGATAAGAAAACAAGAGAAAATAAGAAAGAAAAAGGTGAAAGAAAAAGAATAAAAAAGCAGTTTCCAATCTTCTTAACAGAGGCTTATAAATATATTTATATTTTATCATCTCTCTCCAAGATTGCATCATAATTTCCTTCTTTTCATAGTCTATTCTTAGTAGGATTTAATTCTGAATAAATATTCATATGATTGTACAATGTCCCTGCACCTTGCTCTTTTATTTTTTATTCATTAATTTAAAATATTTACATGACTGCTCATCTACTGAAGCTGTTCTGATCCCATGAATACTAAATAGTGATTAATACTTATTGTAAATGTAAACACCAAACTCGTTCCTTTCTTTTGCTGTATAGAACTAAATAATACTGTCTCTTCTTTGTAGTTGGAGATTAAAATGCCGAGTTTCTATAATTATTTCAAATTCTGTTCCAAACGGAAATATAGCAGATACATAACTGATATCTAGGTTGTACAGAGGACTGATGTAATGGAAAAAAATTGAGCCATATGACATACATCCTCTTTATTGCCAAAAAACAGCTAGATACGGGTGTATCATTGCCCCATTAAAAATTACATTGGATCGGAAGGAGAATCCAACGTCGCAATGTCACAACGTGGACCCGCCGCTGGAGGGTCCCTTGAGACCTAAACCATCCTGTAGAGACAGTGATTAGGGAGATGAAGCCTTGCTGGTCTCAGGGACATCGCAAAGTCCCTGATAGACCCAAGGGAAGCGCTTCCAGCCGGCGGTAAACAGGCAGCCCCAGGCTGATGAAATTGGGATGGCTCCGGAAGGAAGGAAGTGAAAAGAGAAAGTGAGTCCATCTGGTGAGGTATTTTCTCTATTTTGGGAAAGACTGCCCAAAGAAACTTTTTTTTAAGCCAAATTATATCCTTAAGCAAAAGAATTAAGTGGCGATATTAACTCATACTGGATTGCTTTGGAAAGCTTTTTTTTCTTTGTAATTATACTTTGTGGATTGAAGTGCTCGCAACGTTTCTCGTTTCTCCTCTTAAAGTGAACGGATTGATTTTTTTTCTTCTGCTGCTTTTTGTTGCTTTATTTTTTGACTTTTGGATTAAAATTACCCTTTTTATTTTAACAATTCTTCTTTTTACTTGTTATTACATTGTTATTAAATTCCAGCAAAGAAATTTAAAGAACTTTGTTTCCTATAAGCCAGAGATAAATATTAGAAAGTGAAAAGTAGCAACACTGCCACTCGGAGGTCAGAGGCTG